TCTTTATAGAGAAACAGAAGTTTCTTCCTGTTAATTTATGGAGTTTCTCACAAGAAAAACTATTTTTGTTATAGTTTTCCATTGCTCTAATGTTAGCTGCCCAGAGCTGCTGTTATTAGAGCCCACTCCTCCCATTTTTCACATCACTCTTAAGTGTATATGGGCCATGAGTCTAGGGATGGGATTTTTAAGGATAAGTTATTCAAAGGCAAAAAAAGTCTTCTTCATCTGTTTCCGTGAGCTTCACCAGAAAACAGTTTTCTCATTGCCTCTCAAGGCTTCAAATCCTCCAGCACTTCACTGTACCATAATTACTCTACTTTTTACTCAAAATTTACACTTTGAACACTCTATTCCTCCCTATATACTGTCATGAATTAAAGGAGTGTTTTCAAGACCTTATTGTCCATTTCCATAGTTTTAACAGAAAGATATTTCAGCTTAATTAAAGCATCTTCTTAATTCTCTACCTTTTCTGAAGCTTCTTTTCTTTCCTGTCACTGGTAGTTTATAAAGTCTCTTTTCATGTTGATCACTCTCTTTTTCTCTCTCTGGATAAAAAGATTAATCCGCAAGTCTCATCTGGGTAATGAAAGAGTTAAAATCTTGCCCAGGCTGTTGTAGGTAGTTCTGTGGCCTCGGCCGGTGCAGGAGCTGGAGCCGTCTGCGATGGAAAGTTCCTCATGGCTGCTCTGGAGAGTGTAGTCGCCGCGCCCAGCCCGCTGCAGGTCCAGAGCCTCTCTCCTTCTTCACTCAGCAGTTTCTAGTGAATTTAGTTACAGCAAAAAACCTGCAGCCGAGCCAGAGATCGGCTCGGCCCGGCCCGGCCGGAGCCCGGAGAAAACCCCCTCCACAGGGCCCGCATCCCCCGGCCGGGAGACGCTGGGCCCAGCCCAGTCCCCGCCCGGCCGCATGGCCTGGGCAGGGAACGGGAGGTCTGAAGCTCTGCCACCCTTCCCAGCCAGGAAACAAAAAGAGAGCCAAGAGAGCTCTGGTTTTACACTTTAAGGTAGGGTTCACAAGTTGATCCCACTTTTCAATGGCCTAAACTGCTGTCAATTCTCAGCAATGACCGATAATTGGTCAGGAGAAAAGACTCCAGGCAGTTCCCAGCAACTTAAACTTTTTTAAAGGTAAAGTAACTCCATGACAGCATGATATATCAAGACTTAAGAGAAAGACTTTTGGAAAGCTGTATTACTTGTAATTCCAACATTCATGACTAAGTTTATTAGGTGTTCTCAGGCAAACACCAAGAAAATCTTTGTACACTGATTGCTACCTGGTAGCACACTCAGTGTTGCCCCTCTCTAGTTCCCTGGTTTTGTATTTTTAACAACTTGGCCTTTTCTCCTTTTTTTTTTCTTCATACTTTTCACCACTATATTTCAGTTTTCACCAAGACTCTCCCCCTTTCCTACCTTCTAAAGCAAAGGAATGGGAACACTTCAGGTTCACAGCTTTTTTGTGTAGTGGACAGGTAGATAAGTAATAGGAAAATCAGAATTACCAGGGACCAAAGATGGATTGGTAGGCAGGAATCAAAACACTTATTTTCTTAATGTGCAGTATTCAGGAGTATCCAGATATGTCCTGGTGAGTTTTGGGCATTGCCACATTTAAGCATGGCAATTCCTTTTCCATGTAACCATTAAAGGTGCACAAACATATTTCCTAAGGGTACCAGCTACTCATAATGATCAATACATTGCATCAGTGTAATACATTTTTTGCCTCTCTAGGTTACATTTTTGAATATGCCAATGTCGGAAATCAATTTTTTTTTTCAAACAAATTAATTTTTCACACAGTTTTTACAAAGAGCATTACAATATTGTCATTCCTTGGACATTATCACTGCTTACAGAATAGGGAGAAAACCTACTCTAATGATAGGAACAAAAAAGTGCTAGCAACTGAATTTTTTTTCCATGGACAGCATCCTTCCTCTTCAGGACTTGCAGGCCAAACATTTCTAGGCAAATTAAACTGGTGCTGGAACACAACATTGTAATAGGAGTTGGTTTCATCCTTAACCACAGAAAGGCTACTGCCTCCTCATATTACTATGGAGATGTAGACTGCCTTTGATTCTCTGCTAAAGAGTGTTCTCTCTAACTTACATATTGTTTGGCATGCAGGATCCTTTGAACACATCTCCATAAAAAAAATTCTTACTTTGCTTCCAAGTCAAATGAATTATGTATGTTTAACACACGAGATGTAGCTATGGCATAAATGTCTGCTTGTGAAGTCCAGATATCATTCCAGAATATTAAGAGCAATCTTAAATCTGCTGGTTTATCTTTTTGGTTTTTACAAATAATAGTAAGTCAAATGTTTTATTGAAGTCTCATTAAATTACATCAATAAGCAAAACTTGCAGCCTCATTAAGACAGCAAAGTCTGATTGCCAGGCTCTATTTTTCTGCCAGGATATATAGATTTTTTAGCAGAAGCCCACGGTAACTGGAAATATCTTTCTTCTTTTAAATTACTTGTTAACTGAGTTAACAATATTGTCTATTCCGTATTTTGCCTGATCAATGAAACACTGGTAAATTATTATTTTATGGCTTTAAGGTATTAGAACAATACTAGCTTCATCCTCCTTTAAAAAGTCTTAGTGTTTCAAGAACTTCTGAATATGAATACTGATAGACATGTTAATTCCAAAAGCTTTAATGGCAGTTTTCTTTCAGTAACTGAACCATTCTCCCTCATCTTTGAACAGCAAACAACTCTTCGAAACTAACAACATAATTACATCAGCTGTCATCTTCCCAAATGACAGAACAAATATGAGTACCTTGAGCATTTGAAGTTTGTCATTGATTAAGGTTTAAGATCTCATCTTCAGGTCTTAATAGGGCATAGTTGCTATTCAGATTGTTTTCTGTATTTTATACTTGCAAAACCGTCCAATTTCCTCATTTTAGCTCAGTTGACCATATGTATATTTCCCTCATAACCTTTTACGTGCCACAGCAATTTTCTACAATTCCTTCCTTTCAGTGTACATGAATGCCACCACATTCTTCCTCCAGTTTTGCAGTTGTCTGCCTTGTAAACCACCCTGGCTTTTCAGCAAACATATTCCTTAGTTGTGCCATTCTGGATGAGTGGATATCTGTTCTACCACCCTTAAACCATTTCCAATTACTGTTCTCCCACTTCAGATTAAATTTCTTCTCCCAACAGACTTACCTTACAAAAGTATTCACCTTTATAAAGTTAGCACTTCCAAAGGGTTAAGTATATATATCTTATTGGCTTGGACTTAATTCTGTTTGCACATATCAAATGTGATCAAATCATTATCAGTTATACCTAAGCTATGGCTAATTTTTAGTTCTGTGATCAATTCCTTTTCATCTGACAAGAAGAGGTCTAATATAGAATTCCTCTGTGTTGGATGCAACATTTTTTGAGTTAGGAAATTGACATTTTAAATATTTTGAAATTCCAAGTACATTTTAACATTGGCAGCATGAGACCTTCAGCATATGTCACTCAGACTGAAATTCACTCAGTACAACTGTGCTTTCCCTATGTGTTGTATGTGGGTAAGGCATAGGTCATGCTGTTCTCTAGTGTGATTTGATATCAGCTAAGTACCCTGTCAGCTTCTGACTTATCCACTGGAACATTGACCCATAAACATTCAAGATCCTTTGTTTCCAATTGCCATCAACTCAGAAACAGGTAATGCCATTTTTTAAGTGCTTTCTGTCCACTTGATCCTTCCAAAATAGATTATAGCAATTGATTCTGACATTCCTGTTTTCCAAACAGTTGTAGCAATAAAAACTAGGTCAAATCTGTGCTAAAAAAATGATCTCCTGCTGGTGTCAAGTTTCCAACACGAAAAGAGAAGTCACTGAAAAATCTCTGCTCTTTATATTCTATAACATCCCAGTTGGGTTTCTCTTACAGTTTTCATTTGCACTTAACAGAAGCTCATTGATTCCTTCTCAATGTTTCCATTTCTGACCAGCCCCCAGACACCCAAGCAGGCTAGCCCTTTAGAATAATTCCTTTGTGAGAGTAAATTAAGCAGCAAACTCTCCTCAACAGAAAGTGAGGATATTTCCCACAAACCAAATGTCTTCACATTGTCACTCACTCAGAGATTAATTCTAATGTTTTTTCTGCTTGGTCTTTCCCCTTGCTCAGAAGTCCTGAAGGACATGAGGCGGGTTCACAGGACCTGGAAGGATGGAAGGAAACAAAGGTGATTCAGGGACTGAAACATTGGTCTTACAAGTAAAGCCTGAGGGAGCCGGACCTGTTCAGTCTTGAGACAACCGGGAGGGGACCTCATGAAGGTCTGTCTGTATCTGTAGGAGGGATGTCAAGAGGATGGATTCAGGCTTTGCTCGGTGGTGCTGAGCAATAGGACAAGAGGCAATGGCAGAAACTGATGCACAGCAATTTCCACCTGAATATGAGGAAGAACTTCTTTACTGTGCAGCGACCACACACTGAAACAGATAGTCCAGAGAGATTGTGGCCTCCCTCACTGAGACAGATATTCATGGACCATGGGAACAATCCTGTGCCACGCACTCTGGGACAACTCAGCTTAGGCAGGGAGGTTGGACCAGATGACCCACTGTGGTCCCTTCCAACCCTAACCATTCTGTGATTCTGTGATTCTGTGAAAGAAGAAAACCTGCTCACTGCAGGTATCCATTTATCATGAGAGATTGTCCACACTTCCTAAGGCGTCCATGCGATCCTGGCTCTTTGCTTGACAGCTTCAGAAACTCACTCAGCATTGAGGGACGCTCCCGTTTGAGGCAGCTCGTTCGGAGCTCCTGAAAAGCACACCAACACTTCGGGCCGTGACGATTTCCCATAGCCCCCGTATTCCCCGGGGTCTAACCCGGCCTCGGCGCCTCCCCAAGCCCGCCGGGGAGGGCTGGGATGGTCCCTGAGGGTTTCGGGAGCGCGGCCCTCAGCGCCGCCCGGCCCCAGCGACGCCCGCCCCCGTCGCCATGGCAAGGCCGCGGCGTCCCGTGAGGGGCCGGGCCGGCGGAGAGCTCGTCCTGCGGCCGCGCCATGGGCCCAGGTCTGTGCCCCGGGGAACTGCGGCTGGTGGGGCTGATTTTATCCGTACCGGAGCCAAGGGTCAGGGTGTGTAGCGGGACAGGTGAAGTGTCCCTGGTCGGTGGTTGGTGACAGCCAGGCAGCGGCGGAGGGCGGCTGTAATTCCCAGAGCCGCAGGGACGGAGGGCATTGAGGATACGGGTCAGGCTGGGGCCGTGACCTCGTCCAGGTCAGTTGGAACAAAGAGCATCTATCACGCTGGCTGTAGATTTCAACATTTTATTGTTAGTTTCTATTTTTGTATTTACACAGTGTAATAAAGCAGTGTGGCAGTCTGTCCTGTCACATTCTGATGTCCTTTTATCTTACGAGTTGCCAAGTAGCAGCAGATATGCCCACAAAGACAGCCGTGTGTTGTATCCATCTCTGCTTCCTCACCTCCTTCCCTCCCTGGGAAACCCTCAGCCTCCAGTTAATACCTCAGAAAATGTGTAGGAAGAGGCAGCCAACAGGTTTCCCAAAAGGTGCCGGGAAGGCACCATTGCTATCAGCTGATGTTTTACCCTCGCCTTCAATGCACCTTGGAGCACTTACAGTACGTAGGGAGAGTCCCTCCATTATGGGACTAAGTGAAGCACTTCTTGAGAAACACACTGCACCACCTCATCTTTTGCTGAATTCTGTGGGTGTTTGATTAAGTAAATGAGAAGTGGCTTAAACTTGATAATAAAGAAGCAAGACGTAAAGTGATCTTTAAATGACCAGCAATGAAATTTACATGACTGGAATAGCATTGGTTTCAGAAGGATGTGTTGCTGGTGCCTTCTGTCATGTGTCTGTGGTTGTAATTTACCTGTAAGGATCAGTTGCTCTGGAAATGAGGGAAAGACACCCTCCATTTCATTCTGAAAACAATCTCCCACATCTAAAGTAAAAGTTTAATTGGCATTATTATGAAGCAGTTTGGGTTTTCATTTTTTTTCCTCTCACAAGCTTTGAGTTTGAAATAGGAGCCAGGGTTGTATTTTAGTCCTTGTGAGGCAGAAACATGCTAAGAAAAATGTCTGCATATTTGCCTCATGTGAGATGTGTATGCCTGATACCCTCTTTTCCCATAGACTTGATTTCTGTGGATTGGGAACTTGGGGCATGTAAGCCAGCAAGGACTTGTCATGTGTTCCAGCCAGGTGCTTTGCGGCAGCCCCCAAATCAATAGCTTTCCATGGCTGCAGTGGCTATATGGGGGCTATATGGGAGCAGCTCCTTTCAGCTGCTTCTCCTTTTCTGCCCCATAGCTGCAGTCAGCCCCCCTGCCTTGCCAAATTCATCAGCCTCCACTAAGGCATGGCTGTGTTCATTTTCCAACTTGATACCTCACAACAAAGAAGCCTGTAGAAAGCTTTGCATCTTCTCTGGGCTTCAATATTGCTGTTTCAAAGTTTAATTACTATTTCTCACACAGCAACTTCCGAAAAAGGGGTTTTCCTTTGTATATAGTTTTTGTATACAAACCTGTCATTCTCTGTGAGAAGTGGTGGTGGCTCTTTTATAGTGGTTAATTACCCATATGTTTTTTGTTCTATTGATTTTTTATTTTCTAGGACACACATCTGTTAAATTTTGCTGCCTGTAATTGCAGACCAGTTTATGTATAAATAATATCTCTTTTCTTTCTGTAAAAAATGTTATCATTAGTATGAGGCCCCAGAAAAATTACTTAGGAGAAATATCCTATCCTGTCATCTTTTCAAACTATAATTCTCCTCATTACTTGTTCTAAGTAACACAATTTAAAAAATTACATCACTATAACCACAGCAAAATACTGCATCAATGAAATGGCTTTTGATCCCAGAAAGGCTAATATATAAAATATCTACTAGTCTGGTGCTGATCATTCAGTAACAAATTGATTCATATCTAATACTTGTTTCCCAAAAAATAAATTTCATTTCACTAAATGTAGCAAATAGTTAAATTCTTTGCCCCCCTTTTATTATATTCTGTTTTTCCATCCCTATTAAAAGTTTATGCCTTCAGGCCTACCAGCAGGGCATGCAATACCTACATTAAACCAAATTTAAAAGTAAGGGTGCTCCTGCTGCTAACGTCCTCAGATCACAGACATGCAAAATGAAGGAACTGGCAGCTGAAACTTTAATGGTAGGAAGTGTAGACTGAATACTTGGGGAAAAAACACAGTAGCTCTATATGACAAAAAAGTCCTATTAGCATTTATGTACTTCAAAATGACATGCTAGATGATTCTAAATAACTGTGGGGCTTTTGGCTTTTGTTTTAAGTAAAGCCCTATGTTGTAAGTATAGCATTACTTACATTTTTTTCCTTCAAAAGCTTGTTTCTATTGTGATTATGTAGAATTTTGAACATTAACACAGTACCTGTTGTTGCTGTGCATCCTATTTGTCCACATTGTGAATTAACTTAAAATATTATCAGTACTTGGACTTAGCTTGAAAAAGCACAGGGAATCCCATGCAGGTATGGTTCCTGAATCATCTGTCCCTATGGAAATCAAAAGCACCTCAGTGAAAGAGAGAGATCTCTGGAAAGTTAATTAATGACCATTCCTTTGTGTTATGTCCTACTGAAGCAATGCTGCAATTTGTGTGGAACTGGAGTTAGGCTTTAAAGCACTGGAAATAACAGAGAATGGGCTGGGAAGCAGCACAAGAAGGAAAAGAAGCTGCATTGCTGTGAAGGGATTATTTCAAGGAACGTTGATTTTATTTGTTTGTTTTAGTTAAACTGAACGTGTTGCCTCAAGCGGTCCTCCAAAGCCCAGGGGAACATCCCAAGTTTATAGAGCAGCCTCTTTGCCCCCCATTAGAGTTTGCAAGGTAGGTACCTCTTCTCTTTCAAAGCACCGCTTTTGCTGTGAACAGCTTCAATCAGCTGTGCCAGGGTGACAAATTATGTTTGCTCTTTCACAATATTTAAAACTACAAACATCATAGGCAAGGAAATTCTCTCTTAGGAAAGTTCCACAATTAAAAGAGAACAAAAAAGAAGGTGTCCATTTGATTAAAAAGCATTTCTCGTTAATATCTGAGTGATTTAAAATTAAATAGGAGCCAACTTACAGGTGAAGTAGACTCTTTCTGTACACTTTATGAAGTACTGTGAGTCATTACTGAAACACTAGAGAAATAAGGATAAAGAAGATTGGAAAAGGCAAGTGACAACCTCTGGAACAAAAGAAACAGTGTCTTTTAGCAAATGCCATCCTCATCTCAATTCTGTAAAAAGAAACAATGTCCGTTCTAAGTCACAGTCTCTTTTCTTCACATTGATTAATTAATTAATTAATTTTAATGTTTTTAATTCTCATTGCATATAGGAAGCCATAATGATTTTCTTGAGTTGATGGAATTTCCTACTGTATTTTTTCCTCAGTATAACCTGCCCATCTTTTCTGTGTTATTCCTACATTAGCATCATTGATAATAACAGCGTAAGATGAGTATTTGTTATTTCTATTAAGCTCAACTCTTTATGATGGATGACCATGTCTGTAGTTGCATCAGTCCAATACAGAATTACAGTTATTACTGTATTATTATCAGTTATTACAGAACTTACGTAAAAAGTTTTTGCTTATGTTTCTTTTTTCCCCTTGGCTGTAGTTTTCTTTAAGTTTGAGGGTATTACCAATCAGAAGTCAGAAATTCATACTTGGCTATAAGGCTGGTGGCATTTAAAGTTGTATGTGATTCTAAGAGTTTTGCCCCTGATTTTTTAAAAAAAATATTTATTAAGATACCTTTGTAAAGACAATGGAAAGGCATCAGGCTTTCTTTTGTTTCATTTTGTTTCATTTTTAACTGCAGTTAAAAAGTGTGGATTAAATTGCAGCAAGCTGATAGTAATTTGCCTGTTGTAGTTCACTGTTTCAGTTTGGGGGTTTTGACTTTCCCTACTTCCAAAGATCTCCTAAATTTTGATTATTCTGGTGTGAAAATTTTTATATTGAATATGCTTTGGTGTTGATTATAAGTGCATTTTCATGGCAATATCCATAAGGTGTACATTTAGCCAGATCAGCAGCAACTCCTACGGATTGTGTTAAGTGCAGCCTCAAAGCACAAGCCTCCGCTGGTGCCACTCAGCAGCAGCAAATTCTGGAACAAATTTAAAGGCACTATTTGTGAGGGAAGTTTTCACTGTTACATTTTTTTAAATACAGATATGTCAAAATATCTCTGCTTTGCTTAGCTATTTTGTTTTCATTTAAATGAACTTGGTGAAGTGTCTTTGGTATTCTTAGAGCAATAAGGAGCGTGACACTTATATTAGCTAACATTATGAAAAGAGTTTATTCTCATCACTGTAATGAGAGACAGCAGTGTAATACAGGCAGAGAAAGAGCAAAGTAATGGATTTATGTGGAACACTAATGCTGAATTTCTTTTATCTTTGAGTGATTAACCAGACAATCTTTGTGCTCTTTCTCAGAAGAATAAATTCACATTACTTTTAGAAAGATAACATCCTGTACAGCTGGGATATCAGATTCTGTTTACATACACCTTATGGTCAGTAAGTGCATAATAAATTCTCCAGGCATATTGTGTGTTTCACAGTGGAGATGGAAAGATATGGTGGCTGAAGTGAAAGGTGAATGGTGCACAGTTCAAATTTTAAACCTACATCCATGCATCCTGAAATTTGCTCTTTATCTTAATGACCTACAGATTATCCCCTCAGTGGAGCACCTTTTGCACTATGCTGCTCAAACTGGAAAGCCAGGAGCAGTTTTAAAAGATTGCATTGCACCAAGGAAAACATTTTGAGTTGGATTTGGGAATTCTTTTCTTGATTTTCCTTTGTTTTTAATTTTGAAGAAGCTAAATATGAAATAGATTGGACCATTCTGGTCCAACAACACAAAAATGTAACGGTTCTGATTGAGGAAACAGTTTAAATATGGATAGCTTAATCAATTATTACTGATTTAGCTAATACACAATTTCTTCTAGTTTAGACAGAAATAGCAGATAACCAGATCCCTGAAAGCTAATATCACCTCTGTTTTCTTTCAGGAATAAAGATTTGAACTAGCTACAGACCAAAAAATTAAAAAGATATTTGTATGTGCTTATAGAATGTCTGATATATTACTTTGTCAATATTTCATTGTTCAGCTCTACTTGGCAATGATAATATATTATACATGCTGAAGTCTATGTAAGCACCTTACAGTATTTCTTTTAATTTTTTTCATTTAAATTTAGGATTCATTTGATCAAAGACAAAGATGCCATAGATGATTATTTGGCGAAGAATATCAAAGGGGTGTCAAAACAAGAAGCTGCTGCGTAAGTTGGCTTTTTCAAGGCATTTTAACATCTATAAGTTTATTGTTTCCTTTGTTTCTAGTCATCATAGTAATTTAAATTTAAAGTTCCCTAGGCCCTACCCTTTTTAGTGGAACTTGGCATTTAAAAATTGAAGTTGATATTAAATAATGATGTTTCATTTCTCCTGATGTTAAATATATCAAAGCATTTATTGCCTTGGTTTTACTAATTTGTATGTTTACCAATTACATCAGATTTGTAACATTATTGTTAACATTGTGTCAATAATTATTATATTATGCTGCCTTTTTTTTTTTTTTTTCTTTCTCCTTCTCCTTTTTTTCTGAGCTTTTGTGAAATATCTCCTTTGGGGTGGGAGCTTAGTGTACCGACATACACGTTCTTGTAATTTTGAATTACTATTTAGCCAGGCCCAAGTGCTGACTTCTGTGGTAAAGCATTTAATACCCCATTAGTTATTTAAAAACCCACTGAATGAAAGAAATCTAGATAACTTTTGATTTCTTACAGCTGAGGTATTTACATTTAGAAGTTACAAGAGACTATGACTGACTTATTCTTCTGGAGTCTTTTAACAGATCTGGGGTTCAGCACCATCAAAATTAATGAAAGAATTCTAACAAACTGGGTTGCTGGTTGCTTAAGTAAGCTGATTTATTTATTTCAATATTTAAATAATAAAAAGATGCATATACAAGGGCTCTTGGCACCTTAACAATGAATATTGCAAGATCACCCTTGCAGCATAAAAACATTCTATCAGTCAGACAGGAATTCCACCAGCTAGTTTCTTGGAAAACATGCTTTTTTTCTCCTTCCTAGCCTAAGAATGTGCCTGCAAACCTTCCCTAAAAACTTCCACGTTGAAATCTAGAAAATTACTAGAAGGATCAGATGTCAGGGAGCAAGCATAGAACTAAGTACCTTTCCCTTACTGTCCCTCTTGATTCCATGCCAGAACTGTGGAACTGGCTACTCTGCTCATTACACTCCAACAATTGTCACAGGCTGAGTTGCCTTCCCAGGGAGCTCTTTCAGTCCTCAGCCCCAGTGGATTTCCACGCACCATGCCAGGGACACAAGTGTTCCTTCTAAGGTGATTACACAGGATATCACTATTTTAGGAGGGCCTTGGGGCTTCAAAGTGCATTTTAAAAGCAAACAAGAAAACACAGTGCAAAAAATCCTCCTAAATGATGATTTTATATCCAAACCCCGAATGAATGTTGTGGAAAAGGAAACCAGCGAGGACATCCACAATGAAGTAAGAATTTTATCATCTGTTTTGCCATACCTATACAAAGTGGAGTTCCCTTACAGTTTTGTAAGAGTTCCAAAGTTAGCAAAGCCTCTTAGAAGATTAAACTGAAATACCATATGTATTCTGCTTTATTTCTATGGAGATTTTTAAAGTACCTACTTTAAAAAGTTACATTCATGTTCTGTGAATTTAATACTTCTTGGAATTTTAGCTTTTGATAATAAATCAGCAGTTATGAAATTTCTGTCTCTATATATAATTTACTAAAGCTCTTCCGTAACCTTGATAAAATCATTTGAGAGCAAACAAAACATAACAATCTTACTACACAGTTGTATTAGTACTATGCTAATCTAATTAGAAAAAACTAAAAGCATAAAATGTAATCTAAAACCAATTTATTAAATAAGGTAATGCCATGTCTGTAAATGATCTTACTGAAATCAGTGTAATGCTTGGTATGTCTCAGCAGGCAACGGGTGTTATTATTTTAAAAATGAGAGATGGCTTGTAATATGCTGCATAGTTTTTCAATATTGTTTCCATTCCAGAGGCAGATTATTAAACTTCTTGATAGAGGGATTGAATTGCCTTCCTCTGACATATAAATATCTGTACTTTTGTTTAATATGGAGGTTAACTTAATATGCCAGTGATTATTTCATCAAGAAAAACTCTTGTAGCAACATTCCTGCTTAATATTAAACAAACTTTTTTTTTAAAACGTGTATTAGGCAAACAACAAATTTATTATCTTCTAAATAAAGGAGTGTATAGGTGGTATCACATTTATGGAAAAAAGCAATATTCTTTAAAATTTTTTCCCTTAAATTCTGTCCTTCACAATATTCCTTAAAATTGAGATGAACTATTGAAGGAAAAAGTTTGCAGTTATTCTTGTATTGTAAAATATTTTCCTGTGTTTCAGACTGCAGAGAGAAGAATACCATTAATTGTGTTCATCATATAATCTCATTTTGTCCTGTGAATAAATGAGGAGATGTTTTTATTATTTTTTTTTTGTAATTTTTTGTCCCAAGTTGATATGCTAGATCATGGAGAAAAAATAGTGCTTAAGAAAGGTAGTACTTTAATTATATTAAAACAGGATATTGCTTTGTTTTTTCATTGATTTTGCTTTGCTTCCTTCTCAAAGACTTTAACTTGAAATAGAAAGTGAATATGGTGAAAGGATCTGGAAATGGAAAAAAAGTAGAAGTTCATTAATGCAGAATGTGAGTGCTTTCTTGCCACAGAATCATGCTTTTGTATGAGGAGGTTGGCTGACTCCCATGGCCTTCAGTATGCTTTCCTTGATACTTTCTGTTCTTAGTCCTGAATCACCAAGTCATTAAAAGCTCAAAATCAGATTGCAGTAAAAATTAAAAATAGTTCATATGACTGAACAAAGAGTCAAGAAGTTAATGATGAACTGTGAAGTAAAGCATTTTTCATCAAGAGATTGATTCCAGGATTGATTCTTCAAATTATTTTAGAGCCTAAAATGGGCTAGAATTTGATATTGTCGTTCTTGTTTCCTGATCTTTTTTGTCAGGGCCAGAAAGATCAAATAACAGTTTTCTCCACTCCATAAAAATGAAGACTGTTATTTAAGGTCCTCCTCAAAAGAGGACCACGTCATCAAGAAAGAGTTGAAGACTAGAAAGAGAAACTTTGAAATGTATTTGATGAGAGGAATAGCTTTGCTTAGCTGTAAACCAAAAAAATAATTACATTAGTGATGTTACTACATGTATTTTAAATACATTTGAGTTGAATGATGAAGTTCCACTGTCCTCGAGACTCTAGTGATTAAATGAAATCCAAATTATTATAGAGAAATGGTAAAGGCTTACCTAGGTATGCAAAAAAATTGTATTTGTGTTTTGTGTCTCGTGTGTGGTGGAACAGTGTATTATGGAAAGCTTGCTTGATAAATCTGTGTCAGTAAAGACAGGCTCTAAGATTACTTTTTCAGGCAGGAGACAACATTCTCTTACATGCATTCTGTCAGATGTTTTTGAGATAGAGTGGGCTGTTCTGCTTAGAATTCTCCAATGGCTGGCCCACTTTAGGATTAGCTGAAACAGAAAAAGGCAAAAGCTTTAATTCTCAGGTGTGCTGTGTCCCCTACAGCAGTTGTTGGCCATCTCTGTCAATACTGGGAAGGTGGATCATTAAACTACTTTTCAGATTGTTGACTGCAAAATTGAACATAAAATTTCTGCTCTAGCAGTGATGAACAACAAATATAGTGAAGTATAACTTCTGTAAACTCCCTGCAAAAAGAGTGGAGTGGCTTTCACCCAAGTTTAACTAATCCAGGTTAATAACCCCAGCTGTGTGATTAGTTGAGCCCCATCTTTCAGGATCCAGGCAAGTGCTTTAGAATAAGGTGAATCCATACTTTTGAAGAACCTCTTTCCCTCCATCGCTTCTAGATAGATCATAGGGTGACAAGCTCAGATGTAGACATAATTTAGCACTCTATCCCACACTGCAGAGCTATGGAATTTTGAAAGCTGTAAAAAGGCTGAGGGTAGAGGTCTTAAAGACTGATTCCTGAGATACCAACTTTACAGGAAGCTGTCAACTGTAGAACAGAAGCGACCTGGCATCCATTTTAAAACTTCTGTTAGTGCCATCTGATAAAAGATTATTTTTCCATATTTCAGTCAGAGACAAATTATTTACTAGCCTCCCCAGGTGTCTGCTCTTTTCAGTGTCAGCATCAGCTAGGTAGATTTAAGGGAAAAAGATGTGGAAAAACTTATGAGGGATTAAGTATTAGAGGAGTTTGTGGAAATAAATAATTTCTTTCCTACATCCGTACATCTTCTGCCAGTGATCTCTGAATATTCAGCCCTATCTGTCCTCCAGGACTAAAGAGGGAGAAACTTCCTCACCTGACTAGAGGCCAGGATGATCTGGAGAGTTCACTGAGGGAGAAAAGTGGGATTTGTGAGCTGATGGAGAGAAGACCTAGTTTAAGGTTTGCTTTGTGTTTAATAGCCATGATGGACTAGATTTTTCTTGTCCTTTGTTTGTAAGTTATTTAAATAATGAGAGTTTCAGTACTCAGTTTCTGATTTATTTGCTTCTTTATCTGTCTGTATTCTGTTGGTTTTTTTGCTTTGAAAGACCAGTGCTTTAAGGAAACGGAACTCAAATAGCTGATTGGGGATTTGATTAACCCACACTTTTAGTATCTGTCACCTCTACCACAAAAATTAGTTAGGTGACTTCTTAGGTTACTCAAAAAATAGATGCGGACCTTTTTTTCATTGACATCATATTGACATGTTTTCTTTTTCACTACCTGAATCTTTTACTGTGGCTTCCCAATTTGAAGTGGCTTCATTTAGGCATGGGGATTTTGTGTTGTAGGGCGGATTTGACCATTTTTGACCATTTCTGTTAATAAGAGGCTCTCAAGGGACAGAAGAGGGGCACTACCAAGAAAATAGGTAAGGAAAAATACCTTGTTGGTATGGAATTAAGGCAAGGAAGGAGGAGGTGCATTTACTATTACTAGCAAGCTTGCAAAAGGCAATTTGGGATGCAGACAGATCATGTGTAGATGCAGATTCTGCTTTTCCCTTGAGCGCACAGTATTTGGTTCCAGTGATGCACTGCTGTGAGCTGACTCCATTTCTTCTGTGTACAACGCTGTGGAGACAGAAGAAGGGAGGCAAGCTCAAGGACATAGCTGTAGACAGAGAAAGAAGTAAACTTC